CTTCTGGGGAGGCCCTGCTCTCCGTCCCACCGGCCTCACAAGCTTGGCTAGCAGGGACAAGAGACAGGGCTTTCTCAGTGGTGGCCCCTCAGTTGTGGAACTCCCTCCCTAGCAACATCAGAGCAGCTCCCTCCCTAGTAGTGTTTAGGAAAAGAGTCAAAACTTGGCTCTGTGAGCAGGACTTTGGAAACTAAGGCAATGAATCAAAACCTTGTGCAATTGACCTTGGAATGGACTTAGACCATGAACTTGGATGGTGTGTTTTCTAAGTTTTTAACTTTTAAAATCTGTTTTAACTCTGTTTAATATGTTGCAATTTTTGAAATGTTTAAGTGATTGTGTTGACGCATGACATTGTGTCAATGGCAAGCATCCTCAGAGGTAGTGAGGTCACTACCTCTGAGGATGCTTGCCATAGATGCAGGCGAAACTTCAGGAGAGAATGCCTCTAGAACATGGCCATATAGCCCGAAAAAACCTACAACAACCCAGAAAATGGCTTCTTGGATCATGGTCTCTGTTTCCATGAAGAACGACTACTAGAATTGTACCTCACAGTAGCTGAACGAATCCCAGAATTCTAGAGGCTATCTTCCCCTAGAAAACTTGTTGTAAATTCTGGTGAAAATCCCATGAAGGAGCCCATGCATCAAATTAAGAATAGGAAACATGTGGCCCACAAAACTGCACATGGGCCTTGTACCGTTCCTTTAAACGGCATAGCCTTCTACCACTGTGAAAGCAGGCATTGCAAAATAGCTGCCAACAAATAGTCTTTCTAACAGTGCAGATACAGCCTGAGAAAAGCATGATGATATAGGCCTCTTCTACACTACCATATAATCTAGATTATCAAAGCAGATACTCCACATTATCTGCTTTGAACTGGGTTATATGAGTCTACACTGCCATATAATCAATTTCAAAGCAGATAATCTGGATTTTATATGGCTGTGTGGAAGGGGCCTACATGAGAAGACAATACAGCTGCAATACATATACAGGTTAGATGTCCACTGACTGTGCCAATGCTTACAAACTTTCTGGAACTTTGGCCTGCAATGAGTTTACATCTTGGAAGAAAAAAAATCATCTTTCCTGCCTTTGGGAAGAAACATTGAGCAAGGCATGGTTCATTATCTAGCAGTCTTTCTGTCAGAGGAATGAACATGTCAAATCTTTCCCTTTCTAATGCTCCTCCTCTACTCTTCTTGTTTTTGATGCTACATTAAAACTTCTCTAAGGACACTTTAAGTTTTGCAAAATGAGGAACAGTTGGACTTTGAAAGGGAATTTTCGATGATGGGGTGAAATTTCTGTAGATTTAAGCTGTTGGTGCAGAAAAGCCAGTTAAATGCTTTTGTTGTTGGGTTAAAAAACATCACAGCCTCGTGTCTTGGAGGTATATATCTTTTTGTTTTAAAAATCATTCACTCATCATTTTTGTTTAAAATGCTGAAGCACTACAATTTCTAACTTACGTGCATGCAGATGTCTTCATCTAAAACTCCTCTCTATTTACAGATGAGTAAACTTCTATTTTTGTTTTTTATAGCCTGATCCTGAGCAAAGGTATTTTAAATTAAGCATGCTTAGATTTCCATCTTAAAGCTGCAGTTTTATGTGTAATCTTATTTAGAAGGAACTCTCATTGAATAAAGTAGGTCAGACGTCCATGGAAATATGCTTAGGCAGATTTTAGATAAGTTACTCTTTCGACTACATATCTCAGACTCCCCCAGGATTTTAGTATTTTCATCCAAAAATTCCTTAGTCCAGTAATGGAAGTTACTTTTACTGGGAAGTTACTGGGTTTATATTAAATATAAAAGAAATATAAAAGAAAACTTTATTTATAACCCATCACCATCTCCCCGGAGGGACTTGAAGTGGCTCACAAAAGCACTCCAAAGTGCAGCATACATAATGTACACAGTATATATATACAAACATTGACAATATACATTTACACAACAATTTTACATAAAACATCACATAAACAATTATGAATAAGATTTAAAATTCCATAAAATGCAGCAGTGTCTGCAGGTATAAAGTAGACTGTATTCCAATATCAGTCCAAAGTGCCGGAGTGAAGCAAATCAATAAGTCCTTGTGTTTAACCATCAAAATTCTAATCAAGGTCGAAGGTCTGTTTAAAGAGCCATTTTTCAAATTTGACTGAAAAACTTGGAAAGTGGGGGCTAGCCTAATCTCTCCAGGAAGGGCATTTCAGAGCGGGGGGGGGGCACCACCAAGAAGGCCATCTCAACTGCGTTTGAGATGGAGGTGGGCTCGAGAGAAGGGCCTCCCTGGCAGACCTCATAGCCTGTTCCGATTCATAGAAGGAGATGCAAAGTCAGGCTTTTCAAGGTACGGTTGCAGCTCATGAACAAGTTTTAACTATGTGAACGCCCTCCCAGCCACCGCTGATACCTGAGCTTCAAGAGTCAGTGATGAATCCAGGAGAACCCCCAGACTGCAGACATATGTCCTCAGGAGGAGTGTAGCCCTGTCAAGCACAGATTGCCACCCTATGCCCCAACTGGCCAAGAGGACCTCTGTTTTGTGTAGATTAAGCCTCAGCTTGTTGGCCCTCATCTAGTCCATCACAGCTGCTGGGCACCGGTCCAGGGTCCTGGGAGCTTCCTTGGAATGGGGTGGAAAAGAGTAGTAGGGTTGTGTGCTAGATGACCTCACCTCTAGATGACCTCACCCAGCAGTTTCACATAAATATTGAAAAGCATGGGGGAAAGAACCTTTCGGGACCCCACAGGTCAATGGTCAGGGATTCGAACAGGTGTCCACCAGCTTCAACATCTGGGTATGATGCTCCAGAGTAATGCCCCCAAGACCCATTCCAGAGAGCCAACCCAGAAGGGTACCATGATTAATGGTATCGAAAGCTGCTGAGATACCCAAGAGAACTGGCAGGGACACACTTCCCCTATCTAGTTATCTGTGGAGATCACCCACCAAGACTACCAAAGCTGTCTCTGTTCTGTGATCAGGCCTAAAACCAGACTGTGAGGGGTCTAGATAATCATTTTTATCTAAGAAATCCTGGAGCTGAGAAGCCACCACTTGCTCCAGAACCTTGCCCAAGAAGGGGAGATTTGAAATATTAAAGCCACTGGTTTTGGTTTTCTGGAGCTAAATTTCATTACATAAATACATAAACTTTTCACCTTAGTTTATCTCTTTTTCTTCTTGATAAGTAAGTGGGATGAAAGTTTTAGCTCCAGCGATTCCTGAAGTTAAATGTCAAGTAGTCCCTGAAGAAGGCATTTGAAGGCATATGCAGACTGAAACGCATTGGGATTTTTATTAATAAATCATTAATCAATCCATTGAGCACCTTGAGATATGTCTCCTTTTTCTGCTAATTACATTGGGTGACTCCTCAGTTATTTTCTCTCTCCAAGAGGATGCATGCATCCAAACTGCCAGTTTTTGAGGAACACGAGCAGGAGAGAGCTATTATAATGTCTTCTTTGTGGGATTCCCCTTAAACATTTTATTGCCTGACTGTGAAATGCCCTTTAGATAGGCATTTGATGTGATCCAATTCTTATATAACTGTGGTCAGTATAGAAATATGACTTATGAAGACTACTATGCACTCTTGAAATGGTATCAAAAGCTTGAGTCCTCCTACATCAATGGCAACATTTGATCTCATTTAAAAATCTTATGAAGAGAGAATCTCACTGGACAGAAAGGTTCAGACAAGGGAATGTTGCTTTACTCTCCAGAGATCTAGGTATGGATCAAAGCCATTTTTCACCATTGGGAACTATCTGATTTTTCATTGAGTTTCCAAATAAATAACTTGACTATCAGTAAATTCTTCATCGTTGATGAATACTTCTATAACCATTCCCAAGGTCAAAGGCCGTGTACTTTGAAAGTCTGTGAAATGTGGTTTTAATAAGATCACTTAATGTGAGAAACCTATATAATAAAGTCATCACTTTAAAGTTTTGTGTCATTTTTAATGAACATGTTCTCAAAATAAATAGACATTTGCTTAAGCCATATAGGAACCTCAGCTTATATTATAGTAAAATGGGCTAATATTAAATATAAACCTAACTTCAATTACTCTTGAATCACATTGCCATGCTCACTGTCATACTGTTTTAAAGGATGACTTTGTTAGGATTTTGTTAGTAAAATACTCAGGAATGTAATTTTAAAACCCTTGGTAAAATGGGATGGAAACAATATATGCACATCTTTGAATTTTCAAATATCCTTTAGGAACACATTGAGATACACCATTGACAAAAAAGATAAACCACCATGTGATTTCTTTCTGCATTTATGGCTTAAAATCCTCTGTAGCAAAAATTTATGTGAGTAAATCTAAAAATCCAAAAAATTGATTTTTTACATAGAAGGTGCAAAGATGTTGTACAAAGATGGTGCTTTTTTGTGCAAATAGATTTTTTTAGCAAAAAAATTCCGAAATGTGAAAAATGAAATGCAAAAAACCAAATTGTAATTTTACCGAGCAGAGACAAAACTTTTGAAATCTGCCATTTTGAAATAAAGATGTACATTTTTACATATGAGTTAGAGGAAACTGAATTGGTAGAACACCATGATTCTGGTGGGTGGAGATTGGTTCAGGTGTTTTGAAGCCTAGACCATTTTCTATCCTAAAATAAGGATAGAGGTCTTATTTTTCAAGTGGAAGCAACAATGTCATACATTTTACAAGTATAGTTTCCAATGAGAGAAAGATAGAGAGAAATACGAAATGTGGTAAAGGTGAGGAATAAACAACTTCTACAAGTGTGTGGTTGCACCCATTGGTTTTGTTTGTTTGCTCACTTTATGTCCTGCCTTTCTCCCAGTATGAGACCCAAGGAAGAGTATGAACCACACACCTTAAAATAAAATGATCTTGAACAACTCTTCTCTAGACCCATTCTCTCCTCAGAAGATATCTTTGACAATGTTGAAATAGGGTGAGCGTTAGAAGTGGTACATACCCTCACAACGGTTACCAAGCCTTCGTTGGTAATGGGATCGGTCCTGATGGTGAAATGTCCAGAAGGGTCTCCACTGATAATCCGGTACACAGCATTCCAGTTAGGGGAATGAGGCTGATCTCTATCCATCACTGTCAAGTTGGCAACCACTACTTCCACTCGGTTTTCTGGGACTTCTCCAGAATACTGAAAATGGAAAACAAAAATTGCTTTGAGTGTTATCTCAATAAAACAAAAGACCAACTCTGATGGCAAAGAACAGTGATTATACGCAGTGTTTTAAGCAGTAGATTAAACACCAAGTTGTGTGAATCAGACACTCTCAGCTCCAGAAAACCTCATGATAGGGTTGCTTTAGAGTCATCATAAGTTCAAAATGACTTGAAGCACACAATGACAAAAATCAAGAATTGTGGATAATAAATAACATCACTTATTCAGGAAATAATATTTAGCTATCTTTAAAGTTCAACCTTTATCCTTCTACAGTTTGATTGGAGCACCTATAGAAAGAGGAGAGCTCTTAAAACTGGCATTAGCCTCTCGCAAGAAATTGACTTTTATCTGCATTTAGAAGCCTATAAAGAGAAAGAAGCACTTTCATCAAACAACTTGACTTTAGGGCCTCGTGCTCGGTACAGAAGCGTACAGAATCTGCCTCTGAGAACACAATAGGCTTTCATCTGTAACCCAGCACTCCTGTATGCTCAACCCCCCGATACTATCATCTTGTTAGGAAGAAAAATTGTGAATTTATCCAAAATGGGATCTCATCCCAGTCTCAGTGATGGAGCTTCTGTGCCAATGACCTTTAACAACCCATCCGCTCAACAATAGAAGATCTTTATCTTGCAATCCAGCGGAAGGCTGCGGCGCAGAGGCGGGAGAGGGGAAAGGCAAGATGGAGAAAAGGACCTGTTAAAATTCAAACCTGATTAAAAACAACAACCAGGCTTCCATTTTATAGTACAGTAGAGCTCTTTTTCTTATCCTGCAGACTTTTGTTTTGAGCCCCAGGAATGGAGAATATGAAACAGCAGCTGTCCCAATTCTCCTCTGGGGAATATTTGGTTGCTGAGTGCTGTCTCAGTGAGGATTATTTCAGTGCATTAAACAGCCCAGCCAAAAATGGATAACTGAAACAATCTCCCCACCTCCTGCCTTGGAAACAGTTTTTTCTGATTCTGAGAAAATCCAAGTTCTGAATTAGAATAACATAAATGGGGTTGCTTGCTAGGCCAAGAGTATCCCAGATCCTGAGATTTCAGGGAAATGACCTGAGACTAAGTCATTGACCCTTTGTGATGTCACAGACGCCGAAGATCAAACTATGTTAGAAGGTTGATGCTATAATGTGTAACCTCTGGTTGTGCCATTAAACATGACAAATTAAGCTTCAATCACAATTGCATAGAGGTTACGATTCAAATGAAGGAATGCCAAATCTAAATAATGAAGAATACAGACTCAGGCACACACACTAGTTTTTCAAGGCAGTGCTCTCAATCTGAGATTGTTTTATTCTTTATACCAGTGTTTCTCAAACTGTGCTCCTCCTGGTGTTTTGGGCTTTAGCTCCCAGAAATCCCAGCCAACTTTACCAGCTGTTTGAATGTGATTTTCCTGCTTCTTGGCAGGGGGTCGGACTGGATGGCCCACAAGGTTTCTTCCAACTCTGTGATTCTATGATTCTATGTTAGGAACTGTGGGAGTTGGAGTCCAAAAACATCTAGAATAACACAGTTTAAAAAAACCCTGCTTTACACTGACAACTGAGATCTACATATCCTTTAGCTGTTCTAATTTGTAAGAGACAATTCTAATTAATCCTTCAATCCAATTTTATGTTGTTGTTGTTCATTCGTTCAGTCGTCTCCGACTCTTCATGACCTCATGGACCAGCCCACGCCAGAGTTTCCTGTTGGCCGTCGCCACCCCCAGCTCCTTTAAGGTCAGTCCAGTCACTTCAAGGATGCCATCCATCCATCTTGCCCTTGGTCGGCCCCTCTCCCTTTTACCTTCCACTTTCCCCAGCATAATTGTCTTCTCTAGGCTTTGCTGTCTCCTCATGATGTGGCCAAAATACAAATCCAATTTTATATCATCTTCTAAATTGCCCCAGTTATATAGTTGACTCTCTGTATCCACAGATTTTGCAACCACAGATTTCATAATCCACAGCTTGAAAATGTTTTTTTAAACATCTACAAAGCAAACTTTGATTTTGCTTCTTTAGATAAAGGACACCATTTTACTAGGCTGCTGCATATAATAGGACTTAAGATTCATGGAATATGGTATCCACAGGAGGATCCTGGAACCAAACTCCAGCAGATACCAAGGGCATGGGTAAAGGAGAAGGTGGAATCTTGGCAAAAGTTGTAGCCTCTCCTAGTTTGTATATTCACCTTTATTGATAACTTTTGCCATCTTGACCATACTTTGATGCTAGTTGACCACATCTGTCCTGGTTTCCTTCTGTGAAATGTTGGAGGCTATAGGTTTAACCCTGAGATCTGGGAACACTAAACTCAAATAAGTGGAGACTGAAGTGTATTATGGAAATTAAATAGAACCCGCCACCCCATCCCTGTGTGTGTGTGTGTGAACCCATTGAACCCATTTTGATAGCCATGGCTCAAAGCTATGCAATCATGGGAGTTGTAGTTGGGGAAGCACCAGCATTCTGGCACAGAAGGTTGAAAACCTTATAAAATTACAACTTCCATGATTGTAAAGAATTAAGACATGGCACTTAAAGTGGTGTAAAATTGCATCAATTCTGCAGTGTAGATGCACACTTAGACTCCCCTTTGTCTATACCAGTGGTTCCCAACCTTTGATCCTCCATGTGTTTTGGACTTCAGCTCCCACCATTCCTAACACTGGGACTGTGGCGCAGCTGGCTGGGTGTCAGCTGCATTAAAATCACTACTGACCGAAAGGTCATGAGTTCAAAGCCAGCCCAGGTRGGAGTGAGCTTCCGGCCAATTTGTGTAGCTTGTTGTCAACCTTTGCAACCTGAAAGAGTTGCATCTGTCAAGTAGGAAATGTAGGTACCACCGGATTACTATGTGGTGAGGCTAATTTAACAAATTTACGAGGCCATAAAAAWTCTCCAGCAAAAGCATGCGGGGAATATGGAAAGTACTTAATCAGTGTCGCAGATGGATGACGAAGCAACAGCTCCCCTGGTGGCCAGAAAATTGGAATGTTAAATAGCCTCTGACTGTCTGTCTATATATGTTGTGTGTCTATGGCATTGAATGTTTGTCTTGTATGTGTACATTGTAATCCGCCCTGAGTCCCYCACAGGATGAGAAGGGCAGAATATAAATACTGTAAATAAATTAAAAAACCTGGTAAGCTGACTGAGACTCCCGGGAGTTCAAGTCCAAAAAATATGGAAGACCAAAGGTTGGGAACCACAGGTCTATACAGTACGAGGCTGTCTGGCAACATCAAGTGGCAAAGGATGAGGTGGGATTAGTTGGATCTATGAGCAGTCTCTGTTGGTAAGGAAATCCAGAGTGTGATTTCATATCTTATGGCCTTATACCTTATTTCCTCCTGTCCTCATTGCGAACCTCCTAGAGACATCTGGCAGGGCTCTTCTTAAATATTCACACATTAATATAGATTTGTCCCAATGCAACAGTTCATAAATGTAGTCGATAACTCTCATTCAGTATTTTCCATGCGTGGAGGATAGCTTAATCTATACCAGTGTAATAACACTTTATAAAGGAGGTGCTTGACTGATAAATCTAAGTTAGGATTTTTATATCAACCACGCACTTCTCATAATGAGTTTTAAATTTAATTTTTTTCCCCTGACAGCAAAGTATACGCAAGCTTTTTAAAAAGAACCCTGGGACCAGAAGAGGAGGAAAGAATATTGCCATAAGAATGCAGAAACTACCCTCCCCCCTCATGTTTGTGTCTCCTGTTTTAAGGAAAAGGGTGGGAACCAAAGGTAGAGATCCTGTTTGAAATTGATAGTGCATAAAATTCTGCCAATAAAGTCCAGGAGGGTAATAGGAACCAGATGGATGCTGTGGAGAAAGAAGTTTTTGTGGAGTATCCCTTCTGCCAAATTGTTACCATTTATATCTGGGTGTGAAATACTGATATTTCTAGTGTGCTAAGACCCAAGAGCTCTCTGGCTGAGAATTTTGAAAGCCACTCCAAAAACTGCAGATCCAAGAATTCCATAGGATGATGCCATGACAATGAAAGTGGTGTTACGGCATGCAAAAGAAAAGTTGGTGAGTGTGTTAACTTAAAATGCAAAGCATGAAGCTGGTTGGTTGGGCCACACCTAAGAAGCTAGCTGAGCCTGGGAGTTTTGGCAACAGTTTCATATTTAGGTTTTAGCTTGCAGACAGAGAGAGACAGTTCTTGCTTCATGAGCTGATGGAAGCAGATCTCCCAAATGGAAATCTAAATACCATTTGAATATATTTCTAAAAGCACATTGTGTGAGTCAGCACAACTGTTCTCATGATTGTATATATGTTGCTCTGCATTATATCGACTAAACTTCTGATTCTTTACTGACCATCTGCATGACATATTTTCTTTCTCTGGCAAGAGAGTGTGTGGACTGGTAAAACATGAACTACACATGATTCTCATTCCACCACAAGTGGAATAAAGTTCTGCAACAGTGCCATGTGATAAAATCCTTGGAACTTATTTTCAGGAACTGTGTAGGTTAGTTTTCAACAACTAGAATGCCAAAGAAGCCTTTAGAACATATTGATTACTATTATTATTTTTTCATGGGAACTCTACCTTCTTTCTCCAGTGCCATCTCACTGATTTCTGTATTATTCCAAATAACTACACTGAGGATTTGCGCTACAAGAACAAAAGCCCTGCAACAATATTCTGGTTTGCTCTCTTCTTTTGGAAATATTGATTAAATTTCCAGTCTCTGTTGTGAGCACTACATTATTGTTCTGTTCCACCGTATTTCAGGCATGTTTGACTGGTAAAACCTTCACGCCCCTTACATGGTTGCAAAGGGACCAGAGAGGTAGACATGAATAACAGACCCAACTTCCCACCTGTAAATGGGCTCATTAGTTAAGGCTAATTGTCTCATTAGAAAATGGTGTCTGCAGAAATGCAGGGATAATTTATAAGATTTCCCGCTCAGGTAACCAAACAGTTTAAAGGGA